GGCGCAAATTTGGCCGGGGAGGCACGCCGCCCCCGAAAGAACGGTTTCCACGGGGGCGGTGGACGAATCGTGCCGGATCACGGATTTCCGCCGTGATCAAACCCGGTCGTCGGGTTGTGCACGTGCGTGCATGCACGCCTCCCTCCCTCCCATCCCTCCCCCCTGACAGAGAAGATTTACGAGGCGCGGCGCGCGATCTGTCCACAGAACGGACGTGCCAGCAGCGAGAGCAGCGAGGACGGAGCCGGGAGCAGCGCGAGCACCTCGCGAGGAGCGGGTAGCGGGTTCGGCCTCGGGGGTGGATGCACCGGGGGATGGCGCAGCGTGTTCGGGGCCGTCTCGAGCAGGGAGCTCAGGCTGTACGAGTGCGCCCCTTGGAGCCCGGAAGCTTGGGCCTCGCCGAGCATAACCTGTCAACTGATCGCCACCAGGTGAGTGACCAGGTTTTTTTTTCTCTCCTTTCTTTAAATTCATCAAACGATTAAATAAATCGAAAGTGTGAAGTCATTGATCGATAAGATTGTTCAAAATCGTAAAGTTTTAGGGGATGGATGGTTATGATATAAGGGTGTAATAATAATAATAATAAAAATGTCGCACTGGACGAGGTTAATTTTTGCAATGAAACGGAAATTTGAAAGAGACAGATATGTATATCGATCGACGTAAATTAATCAGATAGGAATGGAACGATTCTAAAGGCTGTTAAGAGCGTGTATCTTCTTTTTGTTTTTGATACAATGAATAGAAGATTCATTTCTTTTTTTGTGAATCCAAATTCAATAATTGAAGCAGAGGAGTTATTTATTCGGTGAAAAGTTAAACTCGTAGAGCTTCGTTTTGCCGATCAAATAGGAAATCCTTCATTTTCCTAAATCCATCCATTAATTGCTCTTCTTCTATTTTTAATAAAAAAGGAAAAAATAATGGGAGAGATTCCTTGATGAATCCGTTCACTGATAATAACAAAGATAGAAACTTACATGAGAACCTATATCCCTTATTTCTCTTCCTGTATTTTCTGCATTTTCAATAAATGCATAGATAGCACAAAGATAACACATATTTTCTTCGCAAACCCCTCGATTCCTCCAATCTTCTCCGCGAATAACAACTTTCAAAACGATACATCATTTACATTACTTCCTCCTATAAATGGCAAGCTCCACCATCTTAAAATCCTCCCACAAAAATGAGAGGATGCGTCCGTCGGGTGGCGCGTCGATAATCGCGATCGATATCGCAGCGGGAACGAATCGGTGTCGCGGGTGCTCTCGTTTTAACGGTCCGCGCACGTAACAGCCGCGATACGAATAGCCGAGCGCGCGTATAATAGTCTTAATTAAAATAGTGGTCTAACGAACACCGCTAACTGCGGTAATCCGACGTGCCTCATTGGTAATCCCCCGGCTGCGCCGGTGAACACGAATGCGTTGCGTTGGCCGCCAACCGGTTCCGCGCGCACGATCGACTGGATCTCGTGCCAAATTCTCTATCTCTTTTCCCTCCGTATGGCTGGCGTATTGTGCGTACACGCGTGTACGAGTGTTGGACGACGTGACATCTTCGCGGTCCACAGAAATATGGGACGTAGGATCGGCCGCGTCTCGTTTCCATTGTTTCGAGGGTTGAGAGGAGAGTGCTCCAATGTTTCCTTTCGTCGCGGATGGATTTGGAGATTTCGATGAACGTGAAAATGTTTTATTTATTTATATATTAGTAGAAGATTGTGTGGTATCAGAGGATAAAGGTGTTTCCTTGGATCGAGAAATGTATCGTTTTTGAGTATTGATTTTTCTTTTTTTAGATATTTCATCTCAGTAATCCTTTGTTTATTTGTTTAACTTCTGTTCAACTATTCGAGCAATTTTACGAATCGTGGTTAATTATAATTCGAGGAAGCAGACATAGTTTCATAGAATATAGTATACTTTTCTCCTATTTTTATATCTGATCGATCATTTTTACCTCCAATATTAAAATTCTTTCCAAAAATTCTTTCCCACGATTCGATCACAATTTCGCTTATCAATCAATGATCCCTTCGCTTTCACTTTCCCTGAAATTCTGCTGATCTCCAACAATTTGCGAAACCCATTTCCCATCTCGAGGCAAAGTTGGGGGCAAAAGCAACTCTATCATAATGTTCGAAGGAAATACCGGTTCCATTTGTTCGGTTGCGGTGGCGTGTAACCGTGCGAGTAACCCAGGGCGACGTAAGATAGAGGCAGAGATGGAAAGAGACGCGAAAATGACCGCATTCCCCGGAATTGGATTTCGCTGGAGGGTGGTCGCGATCCGGAAAGTTAATGCAACCTGGGCCAAGGGAGGAACGTGTGGTTAATTCTACGCCGGCGTGGAAACGATCCCCTCCTCCGATGTTTAACATCGAAGGAAACACGGGAAAGAGATTCGCTCGCCACTTTTGAGAAAATCGAGAGGCATGGGGGAGAATTTTAGGATAAATTGGAGAAAGAAATCGGGGGAAACTTTTGCCGGTGAATTTTCCGATTATTCCGAATCTTTGATTCGTCGGAATCTGATTACGAGTCAAAAAATATAAAATCTCGTTTAATCTAAAATTAACGTTTAAAATTTTGTTTTTTCTTTTTTTAAGAATTTTATATTTTTTCTCCTACGTAGCTTTGCGAATAATAAATAATCGCGATCGTGTGAAAATCGTTGATAGGATAATAGTCGAGTAATACAGTTGTGCGTATATATATAGCTTTTAAGCGACGATCAACAATGGTAATCGAGTCACGCGATACACAAACAGTAGAAGAATCGAATTTCCAAATTTGAGCGTAGAAACGCGTCGAATGGACGAGAGAAAAAAAAAAACGCGGGAAAAAATCACGCATCGACCGATTTCCAACGTGATTCTTGCTCGTGGATCGATTACGATGTTGGATTCATTCGATTTACACACGGCCAGGCAAAATAAGTAAAAATGTAATAACGCGTTGGCAAACGATAGGAAAAAAAAAAAATGAACTCGTAAGCGATCAGATACGTTTTTCACTCTCGATCCCGTCGTCAGATAGTTCTGTCCATTATTACTTTTTTTTTAAAATCTACGTAAAAACATTTTATTAATATCGAGAGCTCGACTCGAGTTTTAATCGAGAATTTATTTATTCGGTTCAAGATCGATCTGGATACAATCCCGAATCGAAACGAATCATTTCCTTTCGTTTCTAAATATTTTTAATAATCGTTTTACGACGAATTAAAACCATTCTCAAATTAAGGAGATAAGAAGAGTAAAAAAACCAAGATTTGATAAAGAGGAAATATTCCTTCTTAATTTACATTCTACTCGACTCTGGCAAAAGATAGAAAAAAAAATCTATCTCCCATTAAGAAAATTTAAGCGATTACTAATAAGAAAATAACAAAGATACAAAAATCTATATACAGAGATTAACCTGTCAGAAGAATTAATTTCTCCACGAAATCTCTCCTCTCGCATCATCACGTGTC